AGCGATAGATCTGTGCTACGCCGGTGGTGAAAGACGCATAGGCTCCGGGGGTGTTGGAACCGGTGGATAACATGCGGGTTTTGATCACCCATATAGGATTCGTCAAAACTGATGTGGCAAGACCTAAAGCAAATATAGTGCAATTAGCGAATGTGATTTCGTGAGCATGGGAGTCTAATGCGCAGATGGGCCAAAGACCATACCTGCCAGTCCTGATGCGACAAAGTAGTCAGTCGAGGTGAGCTCCGGCACTCGAGAGCCGCGCAGCCTCCGCATCAGATCTTTGGTCTTCCCATAGCAAAGAAAGTACAGCCCCCAGCTTGTAGAATTGCCGATGATGTTAGGTGTTAACCCTCGGTAGAATGCGGTGATTCCGCCCTCACGGCGAGCAATATCACGGATGACACGGAGCGATCCACCAAGTTGAGAAGGCGAGGATCGGTCGACTAAGTCTCATTTTGCGCATGCGTAAGCTCCATGAAGATGTCCTCCCACCTATTCGGAAAGTAGTATACGCATCGAGTCACGTACCCTGTAGCCTTGTCTTTAATAAATCTAGCGGATGGAGGCAGAGCGTAGAGACTATTCCCGCTGTAAATCCTGCTATGGTCTCCACAAAGGATGACGACAGGCCATCCTTAATAGTCATGAAACTCGTGTGTGACTCCAGAATCTTTTGGGAGCGCGTGAACGGACTTTCGGGAGAACCAATTTTCACAAACGGCGTGCATGAGAGTTTTTGCGCAAACTTGCGGATCTTGCTTTTCTTGCTTCTCGGCAATAAGCGCAGCAATCCGGCGAGGCGATTTTTAACTCCGCGCAATTGTTCAGGTTGAGGCGATGGCCGTTAAATGATATTCTACACGTGAACGAAGGGCTGTCCGATTCGACAACGCTTTATACACATACAAATCTTTCTCGATAAATAAACCGCATTCCTGCGAGGATGAGCCAATTTGTATTCGTTTGCCCAAATAAATGTTAGGACGGCACAGCATTTCTCGAGGAAGAAACTCATCAGTCTATTAAAAGCGCAGAACAGTTCGCAAACATGAAACAACTTTAGAAATACATGAGTGTCAATGTGATCTCCAAAACATCGACAAGAAGTATGAAAGAGGGCTCGAGATCTCCATTACCTCCTCTTGGTCTTTGTGTCCGGGAGAGAAACAGGTGCCGAGGATGATAATGAGAATGCCACTCCAGTCTGAAAACCAAATTTCATAATCCCCCATTCCTGTCATCGTCTTCTTTAAGCGAGGGGCGAAAACAACCTGTAGGGAGGATCAGCTGCCTGAAATCGAAGGAGTTAAGATTTCGCTGAGGTATTACTTGAAGAGCGAGGGTCTGGGTTCGCTGTATGTGTAGCCTATTTCTCGTCGTGAGCATTTCTGATATGATTAAGATCTGAGGGGCGAGTTGCATACCCAGATAGATGATCAGAGGCAGATAGCCACTGTGTGAAAAGAACCGTCAATACTGTAGCCAGAATGAGAGAACCTCGCTGAAAGGGAGTATTACTAGTGGATAGCGACTCTGGAGACGTCAATGACCTTGGAGATTCGCTCCTGGAGATCAAAACGTCTGGTTAGCAGGGGACATATAGGCGAAGAACATTTCCATTAACGGAAGATCCAACCTTAGTTTCCTCGGAAAATTGAACCATTTCGGTGAATGAACGGGAAAGAATTATATCAATACTCAGAATTTGGAGCCGAGAAAGGCGAGTAGAGACGGCGCAGGAAGTTTATGTATGCGGACTGCTTGGGCGGAGTTAAGAGATGAGCAGGTGAAGCTCAAGAGTTTTCCGGGAACTTTCCAAGGCAAAAAAAAGCTACCCCCAAAGTCCGCAAGATACCCGTTCGTCCAAACCACATCCAACACGTTCTGCTCGTGTCTGGACTTACAACCATTGTCACGTCTGACACACATCATTTTTGTCCAGAGTGTCCTCTATCTTTTACTATCCCTCAACGAGGATTTGATTCCAAGACAACGGTCAGATACCTTAAATTGAGAGTCGGCAACATGTCCGGCGCGAGGCATTGGTGAGTAACCGCTTTTTACTTATGAAACAACACTACAATGCAAACCAAAAGATTGACCAGAAGGTTCTTAAATTCCTAGGGAGCAAGATAAGGAGGCCACCGTTTACATTGGTAACCTCGATGAACGGGTTAGCGATAGCCTGGTATGGGAGCTGATGCTGCAGGCTGGGCGCATCGTTAATGTTCACCTTCCCAAAGATCGAGTGACGCAGTCACACCAGGGTTACGGCTTTGTGGAATTCATAAGCGAGGAGGATGCTGAATATGCTTCGCGAATAATGAACGGGATTCGTCTTTATGGGAAACCAATACGAGTCAACAAGGCATCTGCCGATAAACAAAAAGCCGTGGAAATTGGAGCAGAGCTCTTCGTTGGAAACCTAGATCCTTTGGTCACGGAGCAGGTCCTCTATGACACGTTCAGTCGCTTCGGAACGCTCGTCAATATTCCAAAGGTAAGGCTACCATAAATGCCCACCTAATAAAGGATTTATCCTCTTCTGCGACAAGCTAACAAACTGTAGGTTGCCCGCGATGATAACAACCTTTCCAAGGGCTATGGATTCGTATCATTTGCCGACTTCGAGTCCTCAGATGCTGCTATTGCCAACATGAACGGGCAATATCTAATGAACAAACAAGTTTCCGTGCAGTACGCCTATAAAAAAGACGGCAAAGGCGAACGGCACGGTGATCAGGCAGAACGAATGCTGGCTGCGCAGGCTCGCAAGCATAATGTTCGTCCGCCAACCCAGCCGCTGCCTCCGCAATTCACCAACCCAGGCACTCCTATGGCGGCCACTGGGATGGCTAATGGAGACGGCACACAAGCGTTGAGCGCCGCTCCGCCGGAATTAGCAACGGGAAGAGGCGTACCGCCGCCTAACTTGGGCTTTCAGAACGTACCTCCGCCGCAAGCTAATCGACAACTCCCTCCTACCGCTCCCTTGGCAAACCCACCTCCCGGTTTGCCGGCAAGACCTCCGCCCTCGCAAGCTGGTTACGGTGGCCCTCAGACGTTTCTCCCCCCTGGTTTCAATACTGCTGGTCAACAGCCACCCTTCCCACAGCAGCCAGCACCGCCACCGGGGTTCGTGCCACCGGGGTTCGGTCCTCCATCAGGAACCCCCAACCCTCCACCATTACCACCGGGCTTCCAGCAGCCTGGTTATGGCGGCGGCCGCTGAGCTTTGGGTCGTTTGTATTCGCCCTTTAAACGTGCATTGATGCAGAAATATATCTCTCATGCATCACTTTTGACGAAAATGGTATTTTCCCACAGTTTCGCCGCGTTACGAGCCGACGAGAGCATGTAGTTCAGGTGATTCCCTAGCTTTGGTATTAAAGCCCGCCACTACATGGCAGATCAGTTTGTTCTTCAGGAACACTATTGAGCTAACTAATCCGTTGATAATGAGGTAAAAGTTTGGTGGAAATTACTTGATTGATCGGGTTTATTTTTCTCCCATTAGTCTTGTGGTGAGGCAGCATGTTACTACCCAAAGAGATATCATTCACGGATGGGTATATATTGCGATTGTGCTTGATTCACATGAGACTTGGCAAGTGAACTGCTCATACTCTGATGCGGTCTTGGCATCTAGCTATACAGACCAAACTATGAAGATGGCCACATATTCTGATTACGATAGAAGAAGTGTCATTCGATTGCATCAAATAATTCCTTTATAGCTGTTTCCTTCTGCGTGTTCGCAAAATTGGAAGGACTTCGGAACAAAGGACACGCATGATGAACGTAAGGAAATGAGAGAAAGGGCAAAAGAAAGCTGGGTCAGCGAAGAAGAGCAACTGGTGCCTCGAAAGGGCAAATTTCCAAATGGGAGCACAAACGATGGGCGACAGGAACAGCGTATAGAGAATTAGGAATTGGAGCAGGAGCAGTGGTTAAGAGAATGACACGAACTTGGGGTCCCTTGGGCGACCGTCAGGACCGATATTGTGGGTAGCAAACCGTCGTTGTGTGTAGATGCGTCGAGCTTCATCGAAATTAACATTCTGCGTCTTCATGATCTTCTGCACCTCGCGTTTTGCTTTGTTGTCTAAGCCGGCTCTTGTGTCGCCATCTGCGATGTTGGACGATATATCGAACTGTGATGAGGAAAGGCCCGCCTCCAGATCACCCGTAAAGCTGGAGGGAAGGCGAGTATAAAGATGATCCGGGACTGGGATTAAGGGCAACCACCGGGACCGGGTGAGATAAAGCGCTGCCAACGGGCGTCAGATTGGTTACAACCAAGATATACAGCTTGTGGATCAGACGTACCGGTCCCACAAATCACGACAGCAAAGGTGAGGAGATAAAGAGTATAGTATGCCATAGTGACCGCGTATATGCAATTACACGGACTTCAGCGAGTAAACATTGATGTTGCTATGTTAGTTAATATGACTTCCTACTGCGGATGTACCGGAATACTGGCGGGAAGGCAGACGGGATTCGTGATGTGTGGCAAACTCCTCAAGGATTCATTCAGGTAGAAGCCAGTAACGTGTGATGCTGGCTGGGCAGGATACTGCCACAACCAGCTACAAAGTAAGCATCTGAACAGAAAGATGGTCAAATATAGTTGGCACTCAAAATATCGTGTCCAACAGTGTTGAAGCCGGATCAATATCAAGCTGAGATAGGCAGGTTCGTAGAACCTTGGCTAGCACGTAAGGTACGGATAAGGTAGCTCATCGACACCAAGATATGATTGGAAGCAGCCTGACCTGTGTGGGGAGGAGGGGAAGGTGCGCTTCTTTGGGGCTCTTCCTCATGACTTAACCTTGATGGTCAGACTATTCCTAAAACGGTCGCCTTAGCGAGGTTGTTGGCTGCTGTTCTTGGCATGGGCGCGCACAATAATGAACCCAGGCAAATTAAGTATACCAGCCTCGCGTCGAGTTCGATCTGTTCCCATTCAACCAGCTTGAAAGAGACATTTCACAATGGCCGCCGAAAGAACAAACGTTTCCAGCGACCTTGTCTGGCAGATCACCCGTACGTTTATTCTGTTTTTGCCGATGCCTAACCTTTCTACTCCGGAGTAGCGGAGTTTTCTGTGTCTTTTGCTCTGTCTTTACTGTCCGTTCAGCTCCTTAAGCTTACTGATTCATATGCTCTGAACAGGCAGCCAGAATGCTTTTCTGGTCAAGCGGAGGACCGGTGGTGGCTCCCAGTTCTCCCGCGATCCCCTGAACCTGCAAAACAAGCAATCTTTCAAGGTAGGATCCTGAAAATTCGTTATGCTTTCAACGGCAATAGAAACGCTGACTTCAACACTTTGTATAGTATGCTGGCTATGCCAACACTAAGGTACTTCATACATCATCAACTTGCAGACTTTCAATAATAAAGAGGAATCATATCTGAACTCTCATGAACAGGCGGTCGGTGTGCAGGCTACTGAGAACGGCGGTGTTGTTGTCATCACCAAGAAGCCTGGCAACCCTCAGCAGCCCGCAAAGAACGTGGTCAGCGTCAGCTGGGGCCCTAACGCTGCCACCCGCAAGTAAGCAGAACAACTATTTCTCACCGATTGCCGGATGGCATTGTATCAGACCGATTTTGCTAATCAGGGACATTGTTCTATGGCGCAGGATCTACAAGGCTGTAGCAAGCAAGACCGCCAAGAACGGCTACCGCGCCGACCTCCGTGAAGACGCCGTTGCTCGTGTGAGCGCCATCCGTCGCTCCCAGAAGCCCAAGAAGGACACTCCCCCCAAGAAGCTCAGAGGCACTCAGGCCAGAAAGGCTGCGGAGCAGAAGTCGGAGTAAATACGAACCTCAGAGCAACGAAAACGCCGAAGACAAGAGGTTAAGGAACGGGCGCGTCGACTGAAATAGAGCCGTGCTGGTCAAGGGCGAAAGCGTCCCTGTAATTTAGCAATATCGTTATTGGGTATTGTCCTTCCGAGGCCATCAGCAATCTCAGCACCATAAAAAAGAAAACGAGAATTAAATGCCGTGCAAATTGATTGGGTCCAGATTAGGTTCGCGGGGCCATAGGAGAGATGTTTCGTAATTTTAGCTCGCCTAATTTTCTCTGATTTCCTACAACATGGTCATTACTGCAGTTAGCACATGTTCCGGATTTTGAACGACTGCAGCCGCTTGTCGGGCCGAAACGGGTATTCTAGAACCTGTTGGGACAAAGCTTGGAGCTTTCAGCTTTTGCTGCGTCTAACACTCAACACCCGCCTTTTCCCGAGTTCATGATGGATCAATGGAATCAACTCACAAATTCGGTAGGTTCCTCGGTGATGACACGAAAATTGCCGGAATCTGGGGCGCTTCGGATTGGATTGAGTCGACTCTGACGTACGTTTATAGACCACAAGACAAGAGAAATTTTCTCGGCCTGGATCATGACAGTACCGTCGGGAACATGGATATAGGTACATTGTGAACTACATGTAGGATATAGATATGTACTTCCGGTGCTCTATAGACTAAGTAAACAGTCTCAGCAGGGCGGAACTGAAAGATGACGCGGAAAGGTTCTCCCACGTCCGTTTCTTTATAAGCCTACCATAAAGATGACAAGAGTATAGGTAGCGGTTAGTTAATACCGATGGATGAGATAAGTTCGCGGTTGATCTTCCTTAGGTAATTAGGTGTCTTTAGGTAGGAAGTTTTCGGTAAGATCAATGATTACTCTGTACTTAGATACCCAAACATCGGACTGGGAGCTCTCCATGTGATCTCCGATGTCCGTCTACCCCGCCGCAACGCAGGTCTGTATGAGAGCAATAGAGCTATAATGTTAATAATTATCTTAATAAGGACTGAATAACGGTTGGACATAGATACATCATTTCCTTACCTACCCGAGACAGTAGTGATGGGTACCATACCTGGCTTACATACTTGGCCGACGCCATGTTCCTGTATCTATAAGAACTAGTTAATTGCCATTATTGTTATGATTGTACAGAGAAGTTGTGGCTGTTGTCTTGCTATCTCTAAAGAAATTGTCAGGTCATCATCAATTCCTCAAGAAATGTAGGTCCAGTGCGATCTATCAACCAGAATATAGCTCATGTTTCTACTATCCCCACGGTTGTTTGTGCCTTCCTCGTTCATCTCCTTCCAAAACCCAAATATGGCGCGTTGTTTGTTCCCGTTTGGTTTACCGTTACCCCTCCCTACAGTCCTCCTGCATGCCCCTCCGTAGCTCCCTCTATCCCTCCTGCTCCACCCCCGCTCAACCTCAAGTGCTTTCTTTCACCCTCTGTCGTTGTCCTCCCATCAACATTTCCCCATCTTGCGTTGGTCCAATTCTGTCAGTCCGTCTTACTCACACGCGATACAGATACGTTGCTTTCTTGCTCTTAATCAACAGCTACCAAGCATAAGCTCTAGTCTCTCATCATGGTCAAGGCGGGTAAGCATCTTATTGACTTCCTCCAGAAGCCACCGAAAGAGTTATCCTACTAATTCATCCATATAGCTGTTCTCGGAGCCTCTGGTGGCATTGGCCAGGTATGTAAACTCTGACTTCTGTGTCACCGCTTGTCTCAGTCACGTACTGATATTCATTCTCGTCGCGTCTTTAGCCTCTATCTCTTCTGTTGAAGGCATGCCCTCTGGTTGATGAGCTTGCTCTCTACGATGTCGTCAACACCCCCGGCGTCGCTACGGATCTGTCGCACATCTCTTCCGTCGCTGTATGTGACAACTTCCTAGACCCATCAGCTCAAGTGACTCAAATCCTCGGTGCTGACTCGCACTTGCAGAAAATCTCCGGTTACCTTCCCAAAGACGATGGTCTGAAGAATGCATTGACTGGCACTGATGTTGTTGTCATTCCTGCTGGAATCCCTCGTTCGTACTCCGACTCGCCAGAAATAAAAAACCAACTGCTGCTCTTCTTCTGACTCAAATCCTTCCCAACAGGCAAGCCTGGCATGAGTCGTGACGATCTTTTCAAGGTGAATGCTGGTATCGTCCGCGACTTGGTGACGGGAATCGCACAGCATTGCCCCAAGGCTTTTGTACTCATCATCTCGAATCCTGTAAACTCCACCGTCCCAATCGCCGCTGAGGTCCTCAAGAAACACGGTGTCTTCGACCCCAAACGCCTCTTTGGAGTCACCACTCTGGATGTTGTCCGTGCAGAGACCTTCACTCAAGAATATTCCGGCCAGAAGGATCCATCCAAGGTCCAAATCCCGGTTGTTGGCGGGCACTCTGGGGAGACCATCGTTCCCCTCTTCAGCAAGGCTTCCCCAGCTTTGAATATTCCCGCAGACAAGTATGACGCTCTCGTGAACCGTGAGTGTCTGCACTATATCTACACGTATTTGCAAGTGGCGACTGACTCGTCCGTAGGTGTCCAGTTCGGCGGAGATGAGGTAGTCAAGGCTAAAGATGGCGCCGGCTCCGCCACTCTATCCATGGCTTATGCTGGCTTCAGGTCTGCCACTTTCTCCAGAGCTTGAACTTGTCTCTCTGCTAATTCCAGGTAGATTTGCCGAAAGGGTTATCAGGGCTTCGCAGGGCCAGTCAGGCATTGTCGAACCCACTTTCATTTACTTGCGAGGCGTCGCTGGTGGTGAGGAAATCGCAAACGAGACCGGTGTTGAGTTCTTCTCGACCCTTGTCGAACTCGGAGTAAGTGTTTCCACGTCTTGAGCACAAACCGTTTCTCATATAGTATATGCTAAATGCAAAAATAGAGTAATGGCGCGGAGAAAGCCATCAACATTCTCCAGGGCGTCACCGAGCAGGAAAAGAAGCTCCTCGAGGCTTGCACCAAGGGCCTTAAGGGCAACATCGAAAAGGGCATCGAATTCGTCAAGAATACCCCAAAGTAAACGCGCCTATCCCCGTCAAACAAGCTCACCCCTATTGGCCAGCCGCACCGTTGCCTTCCCTGAAGAGCACTTGTCGGTGGCATTTTCCCTTCCCTGAAGAACTCATGAGAATTGAAAAGGACGTCGCTAATCAAAGCTATCCCGGAAAGATAGGCTTTAAATTATAAGGTTGATGAAGACGGATGAGGAGGTCGCCGTGGGGCTGATCATTAGGTTCTTGAATTGCAGGGCCCTAGAGACATGCATGCAGAAAACGAATAAATCCTTTTCTCTTTGTTTTTTAATGTGAAGCCTGTTGCAATGTAAAAGATAATTGAGCCAGCCATCGGGACAGAGACAAGAGGGGTCTTTGTTGTTATTTCATACTGGTGACTTCTAGGCAATTTCTCCGTCCCAAACGTTCAGGGCCTTGGCTGAACCGTTTTGATTTGGAACGTTGCCCCGGGAAGCTCAGACGTTTCAGCTTGTACAGTGGTGGCAATGCCCATGTTCGATAAAGCACCACGAATGACGCCGCATGGAAACCAGAGAAACTGGGGTCATGTCCAAATGTCAGAATGACGATGAAGGTAGGAATTGGGGTCTTGCCCACCACTTGTGCCATAGCAGTCGCCTCGCTTCGAGAAGCCGTGCTCATTCTTGCAAAAGGTCGAAACGAGTTATCTGTGAGGACGTAGACACCCTGAAACATAGGATATCCCACTATCAGCTTCTATCCGTGAAGACTCAAGCGCACAAGTTTGGTCTAAAGTCGCTTCCGTGTACTAACCCGGTGATTTGTTTTTAAATTATCCACTTGTTTCCTGAAAAGAATCGTCCACAGATCCTTGCACAAAAATTTGATAACGTCGAGATTGTCTGTGAAACGAGGGCGATCGCGAGAAAATCTGCCCAGCAAGAAGATGCGAAAGATATATGTCAGCTGCATTTGCGTTCAGTCAAGCCCCGTTCAGGGCGATCCCCTCTGCCTTTATGTTCATCCGAACACATGTTCCATCTCTCGAGTACTAGACAGAATGTGTCGCTGGCTTACCGTTCCGCAAGTCCTTGGCCAACTCTGTAGCCTATAGACTCTAGTCGAAAGAATGTCGACTCCCTGATTTCGTCATCATCTGAAGCTTTGTCATTGAGTGCCAATTCCCTCGCTAAGCGTTCGGCCATGGGAACGAGCTCTATCAGAAGAAAGTCTAGGCATGAAGTACTCAGGAAGCGAGCATGTGGATCAGAGCTATTGATAGATGAGACAGATGCATCAAACGACATCTCGATGAGTTCGTGTGGAAATTGTCTGCGAGATATACAATACGTTATTCCCAATCTGAAAATCGTAGGATAACGTTAAACTTCAGCTCAGATAAACTTCGTTGTCCATATCCGTGATCGTGAGTATTTGCGGAGGTGGACTCAGAACTCCGCAACGTGGTTTGGAGCTTTGGATAAGGGTAATGCTTGGAGTTCAGATCTCCTTGACATACACTTATCCCTAAGTTCTGCCGCCCAACTTCTGTGATTACAACACAACAACTCTCAAATAACTCAAGAACTATCAACTTCACCCTACTACACTGACAAATTCATCTTACCACAAATCTTTAATGATATCTACACGCAGACTGGATCATCTGTAGCATCTGCAATTCCAATGAACATGTTCAGAGCCATGAGGGCGTTAAGAATGTGGGAGACGAGCCAAATTTAATAGTAGTGAGCTATTGTTTACCTCACCGATTAACATGGTTCTCTGGACCACGTCTAATGTTGCTCATCCTCATCGAAACTCGCCTAACGAGCCTATGCCCAGCAATAACGCCTGAACCAAATTGCGCCATACCCACATGCAAATATGCCTCGCTAGATGTCATCACGCATCAAAACCACCAATATGGCTAGGGGACTCCGAATTAGTCTGGTTCGTAAAGGAGAAATTTCCCCCGTTTACAAAACCGCTGCTAAACGAGTTACGAAACGCTGGTCGAGCATAAGCCCGGTGGGGAGCATTTGATGCCAGACGCTTAGCTGGTCTGACTGGGGAAAGATCGCCATCATCATCACTACCAGTCAGATCGATCACTTGGGCTGCCGAGCGTTTGTTAGTGGACAGACGAGCTGCAGATGATGTCGCTGACGGCTCCCGGGATTGAGCCGGTGTCCGCTCTAGGGAGAGGCCTGAGGCTGAGAGTGACTCCTGCTTCACATGCACAATTCCAGGTTCTTTGATCTCGATCAGCTCGTCCTCGTCCTCTGTCGCCGGAGTGACGCCCCCAGCACCTTTGGACTCGTCTTCCTTTGGACTCGACCACTTCCCGTCCGGTTCAATAATGACCTGTTCCACATCCGGCGATGTGGAATTGAGTATATCATCAACATATCTTCATAGTTAGTGTATTTTACGTGACAGTTGCGAATTCGCGCGACTTACTGATCAACTTGCAATGACTCATAGCTGGTGGCCTTGGAACAAACCGGACACAACCATGTGGGCGCTTGTTCCTGTAACTGCAAGAACGACGATGCATCAAAGCACTGGTTATGCGTGCAGACGACAGTGCGACAAGGGACCTCGATTCGCAGCGTGGAAAGAGGACACTTCAAGGACATGACAGTAGAGGTGGCAACGATGTCAGAATCCTCCGCTCTATTCTTCACTGCAAACCATTAGAGAAATTCATGCATAAGGGGGATAGACGGGTCCATACTCTCTCGTAATACTTGCTCTTTTGTGATCGTTTTCCTCCTCTTCAATTCCAAGACAAGGTCCTCAATGGGATGGCGCTGGACTAGGTTCACAAGAACGAAAAATCTCTACAAGATAGTCAGGAAGAATACATAATGGACATTGACACGACGGAATGGAATGAGCATGTGCGGGGCTGAAAGGGACGGCTTGCCTTTTGCGTAAGCGCGTAAGTCATAACAATATGATTGGGATACCCTGGCTTTTTGCGAATATAATTCGTCACATCCGCGGGCCTCGTTGTACCAGGCTTATTCTTGAGGCCTTTCAGGTTAGCCTTGACCTCGTCCAAATTTGCTTTGAGCTCAACTTGGTGAGGGAAAGCAATATCGGACTTGGTGTATTGATTGAGGCCACTGTCCGCAGCGCAATAAACCATTACCCGAAGATTGGGATCAGTTTGCAATCTTGAAGCTACAGTTGGGGTGAGGACGACTTTCAGCTCGACATTGTCCCTGGTTTGCTCGCGTACTTAAAAAGTTAGACTTGACTGGTGGTTGGTCTCAGCTGATTGAATCAATGCTCACTTTTGCACTCTACAGTAGGAGTAAGCTGCTCCAAGATTGTGTAGAATGGGCTGTCTTTGAAAGTAATGCGGCCTGAAAACATATGAGCAACGATCATAGAGAAATGAAGCGTGCACAGGTTACCGGGCGTGAATCCATGCGATGACATTGGTATAGTTAATGGCGTTGGTCTATGCTGTGTTTGTATTGACTGGGTATTAGGTGATGCGTGATATGGCTGACTTGGGAGAGGTTGTTGTGTCATTGACGGCCCAGGCATCGCGCGATGTGCGGTAGCATAAATGAATCTCCTTAGAGTATCATAACGCTCCGTATGTCCTCCTTGGTTGAGTCTCTCAATATCTAGATAATTGAGTCAACATAGTTGTAGCCAGTCTCAGTGTTCTTGAGCACCAATTGAAATGAAAGCAAGACGGCAAATAAAGGAAGAACGAACAGTCAATTATCCGGATTTGTAGTGAAGCTTTAACACCAGAAACAGCGAGCCCCTCACTCCTCAAGATATCTTTAAGCTGTGCATTCGTAAGTGTCTTTACCAAAGCAACAACGCTCTGGAGCTCAGACGAGTGAACGGTAGAGGCCATGATTCCGAGCTGATATGACGAGTGCGAATGGCAGGGTATAAATTAACTCAAGATGTGTGGTTAGAGGCGAATGCGCTTAAATTGTCAGCTCTATTGAAAAACATTTCAACTCTTATCTTATTGACAATTTCGATTCTCGGCAGGGAGATCGGATGAGTAGTAGAAGAAACAAAAGGAAAGGAAAAAAGAAAAACAAAAGGAAGCTGTATACATTTGTAACTGAAACTCCTGTCGCATCTGAGGTGCGACAGAGCGAATACCCAGTTAAGGTTTCCGAAGTGATGACATAAGATGGCCCAGAACGAGACTAGAGTGAAGTTCGGAAAAAATTATCTTGTACCCATATCGCGACTTCAACCTTTCCTCCATTGTTCACCACCTTTCTGATACCCCCGTCTTCCATCATTTTCTCACAACTGCTAAGGATCTGCTAAATCTTACTCGAAACAAAAATCATGGCAAAGAGTGTTCGAGCCAGCGTTTCCAAGCGCAACAGGGCGAAGCTGCGGGCCACGGTCTTTGGGCCTGCTGTTGATGCGCGGACAGAGAGGCTGTCTGCAAAGTTAAAAGAGCTGGCCTCTCAGCCGATAATCAGAGAACACAAAACTTCAAGTATGGAATTGGATCATACAGGTGCTGGTTCGTTACTCCCACACTCAGTGCTCAATATAGATCAACTGCATGTTCGTTCTACAACTAACAGTCTCATTCCCGCTTTACAGGTAGCCAAGGCAAATCTACAGAAAGCAAACCATCAGTAATAAATGAAGGTGAGCCTCTCCTTCTCCTTCTCCTCATCCCTAGAAGACCAAATCTGGCGAAGAAATCACATTGCTGATGCCGTTTCCCTTTAGACATGGACGTCGACACAATGTCCGTTAAGCACACCCAAGGTCGCTCTCAGAAGTCAGGACGTGTTCAAAAACGCAAGAAGGCCCGTTCGTCCATTGTCTTCCACCCGCATTCTTCGAAAACAAGGAAGGGATCTCAAAGAAAGTGATTAAACAGATCTCGAAAGCAGACAAATGACATCTGAAAAGCGGCGTTGGGAGTTTTAGCTTGCAAACGGTACTTTATTTTTCCAGCTCCACTGCGTCAAACATGTGGGAGCTTTTACGGCACAAAAAAATATCAAGCACAACCATTCCTAGGCGATAACCCCAGACTGGGACTTTTTGAGTTAGCATACAGAGGTACTAGAAGGAACAGGTGCCTTATATCAAACCATCGTGGATTATTATTTTTGGCTTAAGGCCATTCGTTATTATTATTACTGCTATCAAGTTCCCACTTACCTGTGTTAATGGTGCATACTCTGGGTATCTTCATTACAAGGTGGTGTGCTTAATGCATGCATATACCTCTCTAAAGTCATAATTCAGCAACTGCAATTATTATTACACAGCTGGACCGTTGGCTATACACACTATGCTAACCCCATATAGGAGGCGGTGCTCCAGGGTGTAGTTCCCCCCGGGCCCCCGTGACATGCCTAAGATAAGTGGTACGGAGCATAGGATCTCAAATCGGTTGATTACATACAAAATCACCTTTTACACAAGTCCTATATTTGAAAGTGGAGATCAATTGCTTTGTAAATAGCACAATATTATCTTAGCACAGTATTATCTTCTGCTGTTATCGCCCGCAGTGACCAATATCAATTAAATGCGTGTGGATGTTGACTTTGACAAGCCCGAATTTGAAAACCTCCCCGAATCGCACTTCCTTTCCCCCAACAAAGTCAATTCATCACCTAGGACAATCTGGCTTTCAAATTCATATGTCCAGCTTTAAATCGCAAAAAAAACTTAAAGGATATGCTGGAGGTCTCTTATCAAAGTTTACAACGGTAATCAGAAAGTAAGATATATTGACGTTGCGGAGGTTGCGGAGGTTGCGGAGGTGATCAATTATTCTGCCGCTTGAATGCCATACTTGGTTAGCATGTTGACCATAATTTTAGACTGTACCTCCTTTGACAGGCTCTGTGAGACTTCACACAACCTGGGAGCTTATGAGACCTCGATAATCTTAAGCAAGTCGCGGTTGATATGCGACAGGTTTCAATACTCTATTGAGTTACCTGGCGCTCGGGTCAAAAGTTATCGAAGCCTGCAAGATGGCTCTCAAATGGGAGAACCGCGCAATTTTAATCGCCAATATACTCATTGTTGTAGCCATTTCAATATTTTCATCCGGATTTTTCCCCTACAAGTCTTTGCTTCCAGGGCTGGCCACATTTGATGAAATCAATATTGACTCTGTGGCACCAAAAGTCTTTGATAGAGTGATTTTCATGGTGATTGATGCTTTGCGCAGGTACGACTAATTGTATCTAAATGCTCAATTCTGTATCCCTAGCTGAGCCTCTATGCTAGTGATTTCGTTTACTCGAAGACTTCCGGATTCTCTTTCACCCAAAGGTCAACCAGAAGCCACATAATGATTTTGCCACGGAATCTGCTGCTGACTGAGGCGTTTCGAGATCAACAGCCTAATCCGTTCTGGAGCGGCTCTACCTTTCACGGCCCATGCCAGCTCTCCAACGGTCACGATGCCACGGCTCAAGGCTATGACAACTGGCTCCGTGCCGTCCTTCTTGGACGTGATATTGAACATCGCAGAGTCTGATACCTCTTCTACTCTCGCATATCAAGATACATGGCTTGCGCAATTAAAGGCGCAGGGAGGTCAGCTTGTCATGTACGGGGATGACACTTGGATCAAGCTATTTCCAGGAGTCTTTGATAGATCTGATGGGACTACGAGTTTCTTCGTTTCGGTCAGTCGTAACAAATGGGCCAACAGGAGTCACACATGGGTCAAATAATTAATAGCCACCTACAGGATTTTACTGAAGTAGATCACAATGTTACCCGCCATATCCCGCGGGAGCTATCACAGCGCGATTGGTCGGCCTTCATAATGCACTTTTTGGGATTGGATCATATTGGTCACAAAGCTGGCCCTAAGAGGTGAGACATTCGACTTTCACTTCGCTCTCCGAGTTGTGTCCTAATATCGTAGTCGACATATGATGACAAAACAACGAGAGATGGACTCGATCGTTGCTCTAATCTATGCCGCCATGGAGGAACAGGACCATCTTCAATCGACCCTGTTTGTTCTATGCGGAGATCATGGGATGAACGATGCCGGGAATCATGGTGGCTCGTCACCGGGAGAAACTTCACCCGCTTTGCTTTTCATTTCACCGAAGTTTCAGACTAAAAAAACTCCTGAAGACAGTCCGGTTGAAGCATTTAACGACTTGCAATACTATCGGACTGTTGAGCAGATGGATATCACGCCAACTCTGGCGGGACTTCTGGGTTTACCTATTCCGCTGAATAGTCTGGGCATCTTCATACCAGAGTTTCTAATGATGTGGGATAATGGTAATGTCGTCAGTTTCTTTTCGTCTGTGACATATTTCAAAACTGACATGTTGCCCCTTGGCTCTAGATGCTCACAGAGTTGATCTCCTGCTTCGAAACGCCAAGCAGATGCTTAACGCAATGAAGGGGACCTTTCCCGATATAGATGTCGAGGCAACTACTACTCCTCACGGCTGCGACAAGCAATTGCCAACAGGTCCTGCCAAAGTCCAGTGTGCCTGGTCCCAAGCACTACAATTAGTCCACGGACCGGAGCGTAACAGAACAACTCTGCCAGATGTCGAATCGGCTCTGCTAAGGGTTCTAGGTTCTGCCCAGGAAGTGATGAGCAGCACTGCCAGTAAATACAATACAACAAGACTTTATTTGGGCTTGACTGTCGCAGCTCTTGCTGTTTTACTCTCGTTTTTCCCAGCATATGGTTTGGTCTCGAAGTCCAGCAATGCTGTGACGTTTCTCATGTTCAGCATTATAAGCTACGGTGGTATGATGTTTGCCAGCAGCTACGTGGAGGAAGAGCAACAATTTTGGTATTGGGTCGTCACGGCATGGACTGTCTATTTGCACATAAAATCACTCCGCCCATGGCATGGCTCGAAAGATCCTCAGTTCTCGTTCTCACGATTTGCAACATGTATGACAGTTGTGCTGGCCATCTCTTATCGGATTCTCAGACGCTGGAATCAAACAGGCCAGAAATTTGCTGCCGAGCCAGATATTGCGCGGAATTTCTTTCCCCGCCATCAGAATATCTTGTGGGCGTTGATTATACTGACTTACTTCGATACATGCATGCGTCTTTGTCTCAATTCACCCCCGAGTAATATCTGGCGTTCCACAGCTATACTGACGATAATAGCGGCCTTCTTTTTCAAGCTGGTTTTCGTGCTGTCCGATTCACCCGAGCTTCTTGACGAGTCCCTTTTATCACCCATACAGAAAACTCTTGAAGTGATGCCATTGATTCTACCCGCAAGACTTGTCTTCTGTGGAATTTCCCTACTGGTGGTGACATCGTTCTGTACGATGAATGTCACACAGAAACGATCTTCTTTAACAGGAGGCAAGTGTTGACTAATTACTACCGCGTGAGGGTTTACTGACAAACGTTAGTGATCCCGCTGGGCACTATATTCCATGAATGCCTGACCCTCTTCTTGATAACACAGTCAAAAGCTGTCAATATCCCGATCTTTTTGGTGTTTCGACTTCAGGCTATAATTCTTGATTCTCTGGAAATGAGCGCTATTGAAGTGACCATTACGTCCTTGCTTTCACAGCATATGACATTTTTTGCATTTGGAGGTTCGAATGCAATATCTTCCGTCGATCTTTCCAACGCATATAACGGGATTGGCAGTTATAGTGTGGTGTTGGTGGGAATCTTGACATTCATAAGCAACTGGGCTGGGCCCATATGGTGGGCATCCGCTGCTCGGCTTCTCTACTCAAACCCAACCTTTGCGGAGAAATACAGCCACAGAACCCTCCTAACGTTCCATGCTGCAACGTCTTTGATGTCCGTCATGGCGGCATGTACAATGTTAAGGACACATCTTTTCATATGGACAGTCTTTTCACCAAAGTATCTCTACACATTGGCGTGGACTATTCTCAACCATCTGTTTATCAATTTACCGGCTACAGCGAACGTGTCGCAATTTTTGAACTGGCAATAATGCGTTTCATTAACTTGCTCTTCGTTACCCGACTTGCTGTGAGAAAACAAACTGGGCATACTTCATTATTAACTGATATATTCCGAATTTGGATGGTCCGCAAATCGTTGAATAATATGTGACTCTAGGCAGCCAGCATGATCACAGGACGCCATTGAAAAGATCGTCGATGGCATTCTTCTTCCTCTTCCTCTGCCCAGAAGGTTTCACAGCGATAGTCGCAGTATCTCTTGCTTCCCTCTGGTGGCCATTCGATTCTTCTAAACCATTTTGCTTGTCAACCTGAGAGCCTAGAACAGGAATAAAAGACTCGTTCAACCGAGAAACAACTTCTCCAACGTCCTCCTGTTGCAAATTCTTCAGGCAAGTTGACTGCCGAAATAGCATTTTCTTTCGATGCAAGGAGTTCATCTCCTTGTCTATTCCTGTCGCTTTAGTTAAACGAGCAAGCGCAGCTACCAGTACTGTGCCTATTGTAGAAAACTGGCCATCGGCTATGACCGTCGAGAAAGCTCTGATACATGTTTAGCTACTGAAAATTAATGGAGCCGAGGTATGAGAAAGCAATGGCAGGGTGATAGGGTATGATAGCGTGACTTACAAGTAACAATGTGGAATGACATGCAAAGCCAGATGCTCTTTATATAGGCCAACAGTATGGAATGCGCCGATCTCCAACGACAGTGTGAGTTTCAGAGTGATGCGTTTCAAGATAGACAACCACTTCCACCATTTTGTGTTTCTGTGCTGATTCTTATTGCGGTGGAAAACTAAATGAAGCAGTGAATGTAAAGCTATGATTTCTTTGACATCCATTACTTCTTTGAAGTACTCTGATGGCAACGAGCTGCTCATGAATCTTGAAGAATAATGTTAACTAAAAAGCTCATGTGCGGAACAAATTATAACAAGCTTTTCAAATCCATTGCGTGAGAGCTTCTCATTAGGAATGAGATGATGCCAGGGCGTGACGCAGGTAAAGAACAAAAGAGAGAGAATGAAAGCAAGCAAGAAAGAGAAAAGAAATACATGATAAAGAAAAGTGGAGAGGGGGTGGGGGAGGAAAGAAATAAGGTACTAATTAGAATATAGAATAATGATGAAGAGAAATCTACGTGGTGGTTCGATACCCTTTGTAGCCTGGCTTGGTATTTCTTTTTTATTTTATTTTTTCCTAAAGTCGAAGTACTGCTAGCTGGATAAGGAATACTACTCCACCAACCAACCCCCCCAAGCGGGAAAATCGTATTCTCGTCACGAAGTTGATCGACGACGTCGAGCAACACACGCATACGGTTTGCGGAGATATTGATGTCGTTCATGCAAGCAACTGAATGCGGTCGGGTCGGCTACAAAAAATATCTGCGCTTTCAGATAGAGGCAGTCTACGAATGAAGACAAATCAAGAAAAAATCTAAGTCATGAATTGACCACTTCAATCTCTCCTAAAAATGGAGAAAAGAAAAGAAAAGTAAAGGAGGAGACATAATTTCGATATTTATTTCAGAATAGACACCAGGAGGAAAGACACCTAAATCTCACAGAGATGGGCTTCCAAATGGAGATGAACCCAACATTGGACTCAAACTGAGACCCATATGCGTGCCAACCAGGGCATTGAATGGTTCTCTCCTGTGAATCAGACAAGTCGGCCATCTCACTCTCCGAGTGTCTGCTGTACTCGGGGACAAGAGGTTAGTGGGGTAAGACGAGTTCATGAAAGGTCCTGCATCGCCAGCGAGGTCCAGTCCCAATCGACATTTTTTTTTCGCAAGTATTGTCTCGCACTTTCAATTAATTATTTTGCTGAACTTCAGAGCCCGGAGGCACGTTCGGAGAAGGGTTGTTTTCTGGGGCGATATTTGCACTAGGATGTTCTTGGGCCGCGTGCAGAGATCGTCGGATCGTACCATATGGTTGTAGGATAAGTGCAGGGAGCACTTCTCAGGCTATTATTGACACCAAAGGGATGTGAAGCAATTGTCTGGACATATACAATCTCTCGTTCAGCAGCGGTAGTCCCACGATCGAACTGTGAACGGCGTCGACGTTGTTCGTCCCGATATTGCTGTCCGACACGTGGTGCGAACAATCCTGGTGACATGATTTGTTAGCAAACCCTCATATTGTCCTAGAGATATATGAACTCACCAATGTGTTCAGCATTTTCGATGCTGCGACGCATTTTTGAAGGATTGTCCGGTCCGGGAAAACGGTCTTCTGTGCCCGCAAGAGGCCCAGTACCGGTGTGGAAAATCTACACTCGTTATTAGTTTTCGTGTTACCTAGCCTCATGTTGATTATGCCGCTCTGACCTTTGGACGAAATGATGGATGTTCCAACATGACCGAACTATTTCGGAATTTCTGTATAAGGCAATCTTTGCCCTGAATCGCTGTATTCCCAGGTGTCAGAATGCCCAGCCTCGTTGTTCAGCAGGCGGCACCTACTAGCATACGATACTTCCGCAACTTTGTCACTGTTAAAGCAGTTCCTAATTGATTGTCAGCGTATGTTAACAGAGAGGGGAGGGTCTTCTCGTACCAGGAACGCCCAGCTCGCGTTTTGACAAACTATTGTTTATTCAGTAAAATGGTGGCAAGAAGGGGACAAGGGGGCCTGACATCGATTATATCAATAGGCTGGCAATTCGTTAGCCATTTTTCGAACAGGGATATGGGACAAACAGTTCCATATGACTTACGTCTTCGAAATTGATAAAAGCATATCCGACGCTGGCAATAATGTGAGTATGATCAGGTCAACAAGGATCTGCGCATGGGTAAAGTAATTGACTCACTTGCAGTTGTTCGCAAAATCTAGAAGGCTGAGCGTTAGCTTCATCTTGAAATTAAACCAAGAGTGCTCCTTACCAATACGCAAGTACATGAAATCGTACTTTCCGTGGCTGGTCTCGTCAACGATCGCCTTGAGCATAGTCTAAGCATGTCAGATGCCATGCCGCTTCCGTTGACAAGCGTTGGACTTACTTGGTCGATTTTATTCGGAATATTGCGGAGCATGATCTGGAAATTTAGTAGGTCAGTCCCTAGATGATGACAGCAAAACCAATCATACATACAGTTGTTCTGACATCTAAGCCAAGGCGAATCCTTTCGATATCAACGGCATTCTGGCTAATAACACGGGCATCAGGATAACGACTGATCTCGCGCCGAGGAGAGTGCAAGGTTTCCTCTCCTGCTCTGGACATCCAATCCATAAGACCGGCGTGCTCTCCTGAAGGCACAGTAGAGCGGCCAGTGGGGCTAAGCTCCATATAAGGCATTCTGAACGGGCGTGTTGGGGCAGGCGGCGAGCTTCTATGGTATGAAGTACCATAGCGTGAACCTCCATCCTTCACTGGACATGGGCTCGGCAGAACATTGAATGGTCTGTCCTCGCTAACGTCGGGCTTGAACGGAGCAATCTCAATAATACAATCCTTTATCAAATGATGCATCAGCATTTGCTCTGACGCATCCATAAAACTAAGCGGGCCGTGGGGAAATCGCGGAATGTGAAAAGCAACACCATACAAAATGTCTCACTTACATCGACTGTGGTGCCATTTAGTGTCACCATTGCATTATCAGCATCACGTGTGTTATAGAACTCGAGGTGGAACTCGCTGACATTGTCCTGTCCCCTGGGAAGTAAATCGAATGCCTTGAGGTCCCCAAACGTCGTCGCAAGTGTTTGTAGGGAGCGCGCTACAGTATGCGAGTTGAAAGTGGGGTTTCGACTGTCGTAGTACACAGACACAAGCAAATGCCCTTCGTAATCTGATGTCTGCTGGAGAAGAGATGGCTCGGAATGCTGCACATATTCCTTCGCAGTAAGTGGGAAAACACGCCATTCAGGTCGAAGAAGGCGAACCTTCTCGATTGCCTTCTTCGCCTCACGACTATCTGCAAAAGCAACATACACTTTGCCCAAAGAGCTGAGTTCATTAAGAACTGGCCCTCTGAGAGTTGCAAACTCCCGGCGCTTTTGCAGAGTTAGCATTCTAGTACATGAGCAGCTAATCTCGAAACTTACATTGAAGAAACCAGCCAAAGACATGAAATTAAGACTAGCGGGAACATTTTCGATAACAAATGCTCGGTTACGTTTGTCGTCGTCAAATTTTCCGGCGAAAATGCCACCTGGACAGCCATTTTGAGCGATTGAAGCTCGACCAATAGGCCCATAATTCGGTAGGCCCTGCTCATATACTTCCCCCGGTCCGCTTCTGGCTCCGCGGATTTCAACACTGGCTTGAGCGTTCAAGGAGCCGATATTCGAACGGCCGCGAACTTGGATATCACTGGCAGCACTGCCGGCTAGCCCAATAGGGGTGAAGCTTGCTGCGGTTGGGGACAGCTGCACGCGATTAGATGTGTTTAGAGGCAC